AAGATAAAAATAAAACCAAAACAATGGATAAAGTCTCCAAAAAAGAGATTGAAAAGCCACCTGAATTGAGCCCAAGAGCACCTGCAGGTGGGGAATTGGAGGAAGCAGAGGAGGAAGAGAGAGCTGGTGCCACACCCAGGACAGGCAGAAAAGGGACCTGCAGCTAAACAGTCTGCCCAATTCAGTAAAGACAGGGGCAACAATCCTTGGAGGGCTCTGGGTAGGATGTTTGTGACTGCTGGCAGAGTCATTTCCTTGCTTACAGTGGCATAGAACCCAGGAGAGGCTCAGTTATACTTGTAACAGACAACACCAAAATTACAGTGATTTTATAAAACAACCCTTTCTTTCTTTCCCTTCCTCCCTTCCTCCCTCCCTCCCGCTCTCCCTCCATTCCTTCCTTCCTTCCTCGTTCCTTCCTCCCTTCTTTCCTTCCTTCCAAGACAGTCTCACTCTGTTGCCTAGGCTGGAGTGCACTGGCATCTTCGTAGCTCATCACAGACTTGAACTCCTGGGTCCAATCCATCCTCCTGTCTCCACCTCTGGAGTAGCTGAGACTACAGGTGCACATCACCACATCTAGCTTTTTTTTTTTTTTAATAGGCCAGTCTTGAACTCCTGGCCTCAAGTGATCTTCCCACCTTGGCTTCCCAATGTGTTGGGGTTATAGGCATGAGCCACTATGCTCAGCCCGAAATATTGTTTCTTGCTCAGACATCCTGCCCATGGTATTTAGGTGAGCTCTGCTCCATGTTTCCATGTTGTCCTCACCTCTGAGACTTGGGATGACAGAGACATCACTCTCAGAAGCATTGCTGGCTGTCTGGGCTCAGGAGGGCCTCATGCTGGCTATTAAATCCCCTCTGCTTATGACCTGTCCCACGTGCTCACCAGCTACCACGGGAGCAGCAGGTACAGTTGTCCTGTGAGTTGGGAAGTCGGGGGGACTGGAGATGCTGGTTGAAGAGCAGGAATGGGAATAACACAGAGTAGTAGCAGGGGGCGGAGGTCGGGATGAAGGCAGGGGAGATGGCAGAATTCTCCTGTCTAGTGCTCCTGTAGGACAAGGCCCTGAGGAGGGCTGTGCTTTAACTCTTGGCCC